AACAATGCTGGTATATTGTAACCTTTTGTAATATACATTTTGCACAATAATTTTACAATAAACAATTGATATTTTCATAATTAATTGCATTTCTTCGTTTCTCCTGATGTTCAAGACCTTTCCTTGCTTCTGATGGTGCTCTGGAAGGTCCACCTGTAATTTATACAAGAAAAACATTAATTTTACTAATTGCTAATAAAAGTTATAAATAATTTCCGACGAATCTACCGAATTCAATGGTTAATTCAGTGCGAAATTAACATGTTAAGCAGTTCTATTATGGTAAAGCTTACAATAATTTTATTTGACACTTGCAACAGTGATAAACAACCATCTGAATTGTTATTTAACAAGAAACTGTAGTTATTCTACAATTAAAATACTTCAAAGTAAAGTTTAAACTTTATTTCACTATCTACTCGCTACAAGTAATGTTAAACGAATGAAATATTTATAATAAATGTTAACTGTAAAATGCCTGCTGCATGCAATTGTTAATTCAATACGAAATTAACAATTTAAGCTATTTTATTAGGTTAAAGCATGCAATAATTCTATTTAAAACTTCCAATAATGATAAACTACCATCTATATCATTATTTAGGAGAGTTGCAACTTTGTTGCGCGAATCGCTCCCGAAAATTGCATATTGTTGCAAAACGGCGCGTCGTGCAACAACGTGAAATTTTCGTGAAAACAATGTTGCAAACCCGATAACACGTCTTGCTACAATGTGCAATTTTCGGGAGCGACTCCTGGCAACAAAGTTGCAAACCCGATTACGCGTTTTGCATCAATGTGCTTTTTTCGGGAGCCCGCGAGAGTGACAATGTTGTATTTTCGTTTGTAACGCTGTACGACATGCAAAACATTGTTGTATGCAGTACTTTGTACGGAAAACATTGCCACAAGCATTTACTTGAGCACTTGTGTTCAAATGAAAAAGTGCTAAGCCACATTTACAACTTATTCATCTATGGATAATGCGGCTTGTACGAAAGCATCTCTATGGAACATATATGCATTAACCGTGTTCCTTATTAAAATAAGTTTTGTACTAAGTAGAAATTTCATTCCATTCGAAATGAAATATACTTGCAATACAATTGAAACCTCCCAAAGTGTATTCTCTTCTCTCAAATGAAGTTACTAATCGAATTCTTAGAACCCTCCAGCGATTGACCAGCAAAAACGACACACAGAAATAATAATATCGAAATTTTAAAACAGTACCGTTCAAAATTCTTACGTACCTCTTGTACAATATCTTAAAGCAATTTACGGACGCATCAGTTTCCATGTCCACTCGATTCACCATCGTGAGCAGCCAGGAATCGATCGCGGGCACCCTAGACTATATACATATGTACATCTTGTCTTCTCATTTCCCCCAAGAATCTCTCGCGAAATTTCGCTCGCTCGCCTCCGTTTTCCCCCTTTGTTTTTTCGTTCTGCTCACGTACCGACAATGGGGGCGAATTAAATGACAATACATATTAATTAACCCTGCGGAATGGGGTAGGACAATCTACGGTAACGACTCGTTGTGAAGTCAGGCATGACGCACCAGGAACAAGGGGCAATTAGAGAAAATCAATGTTGCACAACACGTTTGCATGTTGCATTTAATAATGATGCTTGAGTGGAATTCAATTCGCCCTTTGACAGACCACCGCCGCCGCCGCTGTGTGTGTGTGTGTGTGTTTCCCACCGGAAACAGCTTCATTTTAAACAGGAGGGAGAGGAGAGGAAAGAAGACGTAACAACGCGAATCACGCGTTGCTCATCCCCTGATTATTTTCCATCTCTCTCTCTCTCTCTCTCTACCTGTTATTCTATTTCTTTTATCTCTTCTTCCCTTTACCTCCTCTTTTTTGCCTCGTTTTTGAATCGAAGCCGGCTAATTAAATGAATGCCTGCCGGCGCTGCGTCGCAAAGCATATCGATTTACGTTCTCCGCGGAGGCTGGTCATTAAAAAGAGGACGCGAGTTGCGTTTTTCCTTCTCTTTTTTATTGCACGATAAAAGGGGAGCGTATTTGGCGTTCGACTCTCTGTGATCACGAATCAAAGATTCCACCCTCGTCTTTTGTGTTACTTCATTTTTAAATATTAATCTGTTGCGATAAGGCTCGGAGATACGGGGTCGTGATTAAAAAATAGGTCTACTTTTATTTCAAGCGTTTCAGATTTAACGAATCGGCGAGCAACTTTAGCCGATTCTCTGCAAAGCTGATTCATGCCGATAGCCAGTTTGTTTGCTTTGAGACTTAGCTTATCTGAGCCGATTTGTAGCTGTTAAATGATACCTACAGTGAAGTCCGGTGAAGTTTGTAAATGTCCTGCGGAAATCTCGTAAGAGGCGATTTGTGTACGTGAAAGTTGTTCAGCTAGAAATGAATTTTATCAAGCTTTCAAGCATAAGCTTTATTTTCGATTCGACAAAGGAATCACAGGTCCGCTGTTAGACTTCATAGAATTAATAATTTCCTTGTGTGAGATGAATGTAGGTTATTAAACGAGTATCGAAACATTTTGTTGCAAAAATTATATTGTATTTAATAAGGCAATATTGAAATATTCAATGAATATGAGAATATTTCGCAGTGAAACGATTCATTTTAAGAAACAGCGAAGTATTACCTATTTGGATTTAATTCATTCATTTTCCAGTCGATGCTTTAATTTGCTGGACAAACTGATTCAGATATTAATATATCTATTAAGACTAACTTTTATGAAAATTGTCGGCCTTGTTCCATTTTTTCTACAACATAACATATTGTAAATTTTTCATACTTTTTGTAGTAATTTAATAACATTTTTTCTTGGTGTTTTATTCATATCGAACTGTAACATTGTAGTACTTTCTATATTTTTTAAAACACCCTGTATATGTCATTGACATCAAAACGCCACTCTTATCCATTATTTTTATCGTATTGATAGATTATTACTTTATCTAGAAAGAGATGCTAAACTGTTGCTACAACCATAAATATCTCTTTCAATAATTTTTATGCTTTATTATTATTATTGTATCAAAATTACCACTTTACGTGCTAAATTATATTTATTCTAGATCGAGAATTTTTCAATTTTCGAAAAACAATACATATTGACTTAATGTGTTTTATCGATAAATCGACGATATATGAAATAATTTTGATATAGTAGGCTTATATGTAGACAACTTCCAATCTTTTGGATTTACCTATCATTGTAACGTTATATTTATCTTTTTCCATGTGGCACTAATAATAGAACCATCGCGATAAGAAATATTCATTAATGTACATCTGTTAGTATATCTTTCAGAATATCCAAAATAATACAAAAAGATTGTTTCAGATCTTTATATCTGTATGTACATATGTACAAATGTTTAAGATTTAATATTGAAATTCTCTCTTACGCCAATTGCAACGAAATTAATTTATAAAGTTCATCAGCAATTTCTTATTTTACTGTAATATTATTAATTTACGTATGTCTCGTAGAATATTCAAAATACTATAAAGAGATTGTTACATCTACAAGTATAAATATTTCAGATCGAACAAATTCTCCCTTACGTCAATTTCAACGGAATTAATTTATCAAGTTCATCAGCAATTTCTATCGCGATCAGCGCATAACTTCCGTACTCGCTGTAATATTATTAATAATCTCTCTAACCATCAACTGAAACAATCTTTCTCGATACTCCACGCAAACTCAACATGAACATTCCGCTACCTATGAAATTCGTCACTAGTCGGGGAAGCAGAAACGCGAAATTATTCAAGAGTCGCCTATCAGAATCTCCATCATAAACGAGTCTGTATATACTTGGTATCATGGCAAACTATCAAAGGACGGCTTCTACCAAACATCCTAGCAAACTATCAAAGGATGACTTTGCGTCTAAGTCGTTCCCCAAATGCATATTCTTCGAGTTACTCTTTCTCCCTTCCTGTCTCTCCCCGTCTCTCCCTGTCTCTCCCTCTATTCCTGCAGCTCAATCTCGCTGAATCTAAATGGCGTCTATTAAGACACACTCCTGCGACCTGGCTGTGGATCCACAAAGTCAAAGAATTTGCGGCACTTGTTGCTGAAGTGGTTTGATATCCGCTGGAAATATCCTGCCGGGCCAAAGATAGTACGGAGCGCTCGTTCATCCGGCTGGAATTCAATATCGACGCAATTGCGTTTTTGGCCGCTGCTCAGGCTCGAAATGAACGTTCAAACTTCCAGCATGCGGCACCGTGAATTTTACGGGTCGAGGATCCTCGTTAAGAATGCAGTCCGATTTCGAGTGCACTCTTCATCGGATCACTTGTTTCGCCGTCGCGTGCCTTCAGAAAGTGCGATAACGAACATCTATACACACGGATCTTTCCAACAGTTTCCATATTCTGGTTATTATTACCGCGGAGGAATGCGATGTGTTTGTTAAACGATGTAGAGCTCAGCTTGTGTGCCTGTGCGAGAGATAAGTTCGACTAGAAATTAACTGTAATCGTGAAACGCTACATTCAAATATTTAGATATCAAATTTTCATTCAAACAATTTCTTCGCATCTCCCACAATTTTCAAAATATACAGAAAAATAGGAAATCACATCACACTTCAAGGACTATTTTCTCCCCGAATAATCGAGAAATAGCAAAAAAATTGGCATTAGCGAAAAAACGTACAAAATTTCAAAAAAATCGGAATTTTCAGAGCACCGAAGGTTCCCCCGTTAGCTGTGCAAATGTAATCGATAATGGATTAAAAGGAATGAACTGAGTAAGAAGAATGAATTCTAGGCGCGTTGTACGGAATAATAAGGGGGAAGGGGGGAGAAAACATGTCAGTCAACAATTTGCCGCTTAGTCACGATCGTCCCGTGTTTGTTAGAGCAAGATTCTGAAAAGTTACGAATCATGCTGACAACAGTCTCCATAACATCAGCAGCGATGCAAACATTTACAGAACGAGCGCGGCCGTAGAGCGCGACAGAGATTCTAATTATCTTTGAAGGTTGGTTATTCGCTCCGCGTAGAAGAGTGCAGAGTGTGAATCCGATGTAAACGGTACACAAGTTACGTCGTTTTCTCGAGTCTGCTCGAGGCTCTTCACAGTTTTGTGCGAAATTTTCTCGGAAGTTCAACGTTGTTCGGTTTCGCGAAGAACGAGACACGATGTCGTGGTCGATTTTCGAAATTGTCGGATACTTCGCCGCGATTTTGGTGCTGCTTTATTACTACGCGGCCTCGAAGCTCGAATTCTGGGAGAAACGAGGCGTGAAAGGACCAAAGCCTATCCTGTTTTTCGGCAATTTCAAAGACGTGCTTCTGGGAAGATGTTCGACCACTCAGGTCTTCGAGAAGGCGTACTATGAATTTAAAAGTGAACAGATGATCGGAGTGTTCGGGGGACACGAGCCGTTTTTAATTCTGAAAGATCCGGATTTGATAAAGGACGTCCTTATCAAAGATTTCTCGAAATTTGTTAACAGAAATTTGCAGCCTGTTCGAGAGGTAAGTTGACGTTGACTGTTTTGTAATTATAGTGGTCTAGTGCAGGTGTACTTGACGAATATTCCAATTCGATTTTCTCGAAAACGGAGTTCTATGCATAATTTAGGAATGATCTTTTCCTATTTTTCGGTTAACCGTGATTTCCGTAACATTCTATATAAGCACGTCATTGAGAAAATTGAAATAATCTTCGTTTTACGTTTGCTATTATTACCTGTAGTGACGTACACTGCTAGTAGTAAGTATTAGGACATGTCAGAGTAAGTATATGATTGAAATTATGTATTTATTATACTTGGACGTTCTAGAATGAATAATTCTTTTATGGAATCTTAATAATTTTGTAATCACTTCTGTGTGTGAAATAATTTTATATTTAACTTGTAACGACAATGAGGCTTGCTTCACATTCAGCAAGTAGATTTTAGTAGGTCTCAAAAGATTTCAATAGATATTAGTGGAATACAGTGGATTTTAGTAAATTTTAGTAAAATTTAGTACATTACTTTCGGTAGATTTTAGAAAAGTTTAATAAATTTCAGTAAATTTTAATGGATTTGAGTAAAATTTAGTAGAATTCAGTAGATTTTAATAGAGTTCAACAGAGTTCAGTAGATTTCAGTAAATTTCACTATATGTACTTCACATTCACTAACTGTCCTAACACTACTGAACAGGAGTGTACGTCCATCAGGAAGGAACCACAAAAATATTTCCTAAATACTAAAACAAACAATTTGCAACCCTTTCGTTACGTATCCATTTAACAGAGAGACCCCCTGACAAACGTAGACATCGAACACCGTGAAACGTCTCTCCTTTCTCTTTTAGTATACCGATGCATAATTTATAGGTCGATCCATTATCGGAGCATCTCTTCAGGTTAGACGCGGAGAAATGGAAGCCCTTAAGATCCAGACTTTCCCCTGTCTTCACCTCGGGGAAGTTGAAGGAAATGTTTCACTTGTTGCTAGAGTGCTCGGACCACTTTGAGAAGTATGTGGACCGGTTGGTTGCGAAGGGTGAGCCGATCGAGTGCCGTGAAATTTCAGCGAAATTCACCACAGACGTGATTGGATCTTGCGCGTTCGGTATCGAAATAAACGCGCTATCAGACGAGGACAGCGAGTTCCGCGCGATGGGCAGAAGGGTGTTCCAACCGAACTGGAAATCGATCATCAGGGACAGACTGATAGAGTATCCGATATTGTTCAGAATTTTTGGCCGTTTCGTAATTGACCATGAGCTCATCCATTTCTTCCAGAGGATCACCAAAGAGCAAATCGATTATAGGATTGAGAACAACTTTTGTAGATACGATTTCATCGATACCTTGGTTGATCTGAAGAAACACCCGGAGAAACTTGGACTTAAAGGTAAAACAGCAGTTTCTCTCTTTGTTTTTTAATTCAGAAGGTTGAAGTTGTAGTGGTGTGAGTCACATTTTCGAAAATAAGGGCTGAAATGCAACCTACATGTGCCAAACTTTTGAAAAGATAAGTGAAGTATAGTAAGTTATAATTGGGAGAGGCATTCTGGTAACATTGAATACGGTACAGCAGCACATTTGATCATTTTTAATAACTTCAGACATTGTGACTTTAACCCTTTCAGTTATTTCAAAGCTTTCTAAGCTTTTCTGGAGAATGAGAAAATTTTCGTTTACCCGTTAGAAGCTTTAAACGTGACATTAATTAGGCAACAGATTAGCTCAGGAAGCTGATTTCTAAGATACGACACCGTAATACTATTATAATAATACAGTATAATTAGAATCGAAGATCTTTAAAGGAGAAAGTTAAAATTCAAATACAAAGGGAGGAAAAGTTGAAATTACTGCTTATCAGTTCAACGAGTTACGTGTGAAAGCTACGGGTAGCGAAAGTGTGACAAAGAGAAAACGGGAGGCAGAAGAAATGAGATCGTGGCGAAGTATGACTCAGCTAATTTTCGGACACTTAACAGTGGTCAGTGGAGGGTAATGGAATTAAATCGTACACCGTCTATGGCAGTTCTCCTACACCCTAATTAGATCCTTGATGCATTACTTCGTCCATTTAGACTACTACTCTATATCTGTTATAGTTTTCGAGATATTGGACTTGAAGACGATTTTCACCCCTTCGATGTGAACGATTACCGATAAAAAGAAATACGTATTAAATACTATTTGTCAAAATTTAATCAAAATCGGCAATTACTGTCCCTTTTAAAGTTTGACAAAATTTTGCTGAATTTGCTGCCCTTCGGTTTTCTCTTTCTCTCTCTTCTGTTGACTGTATCTCGAAATGTACTGAATTTTTTCAACTCTGACTTGTAAATCAGGTTTCTCGAGAGATAAAGAGTTTTCGAACGAAAACGAATATTTATACTTTCGTATGACTTAATAATTCTTAGTGACGAGATAAAATAGCGATTAAGAACGATTAGAAGTTATTACACGCCTGTAGCTTCGTTATATTGTTTACGTAACTTATCTTAGGTAATAAATAAATAAATTTGCGGTACATTGTTTACGTGTTAAATAACGTAGCAGTTTTGATAAGGACAGTCGTAGAGATAAAAATTTTCAGACATAATATGCTATAATTAGACTCCCAAAAATAATTCCAATTTTTTCAAAAATCTGTAAAATTTGTCAACGAAAATTTTAGCAGCATCTTGGGTAGAACAATAAGTTTAGAGTTTAATATTCTTAAAATATTACTGCTCACTTTAAGAATTAATCAAATTTGTTAAAATTTTAGGCGACAATAATTCACTTTACTGGACTCAATAAATTTACTTTCATTGACAATACGGTACTTTTTACGTGCACAGAAGTGGACGACGTGTACTTAACAGCACAGGCATTCGTTTTCTTCGCTGCTGGCTTCGAAACGTCTTCAATAACGATCACCAATACTTTGTACGAGCTCGCGTTAAATCAATCAATTCAGGACAAAGTTCGAGCCGAAATTAAGGACGTTCTTGAAGAGACTGATGGAAAGATCACGTACGACTGCATAAGGAAAATGAAGTATTTGGACGCTTGTTTCCAAGGTAATATTATTTTGCAACAAAAATTTAATTTATCTAACATACGCGTTTCAAATATTTTTGCTGCAACGGAAAATCGAATAATTTCTGCAAACACAAGTTACTTACGATTGAAGAAAAATAATCACGAAAGATTATTCTTGCTGCGATTAAAAGTGGAATAATTTTGCCGAATATAAATTATTCGCGATTAAGAAATCGCGTGTATGAATAAACTTGTAAATTTGATTTCGACGCATTTCCATATTAATTCCTATTTTTTGCAGAAACTTTGAGGAAATACCCAGTGGTATTATGGCTGGCCAGGAAATCAACGGCAAGTTATACGTTTTCCGGGACGAAAGTTAGCATTCCAAAGGGGCAACAGGTCTTTCTACCTGTTTATACAATTCAAAACGATCCGGACATTTTCCCAAACCCGACAGTTTACGATCCTGAGAGGTTCAACGAGGAAAATATCAAAACCAGACATCCGATGTACTTTTTACCATTTGGAGATGGTCCAAGAAATTGCATTGGTAAATTATCTTCGTGCTAAAAGGATCGTTTAATAGAGAAATTTGTACGAGTAGAATAAATCAAAATGTTATTTTCCTTTCAGGTGCGAGATTCGCTAAGAACCAATCGAAGGTGGCACTAATTAAGATTTTATCGAAATTTAAGGTCGAAGAGTGCGAGAAAACTTGCAAAAAATACGAAATAAACCACAAGACGCTGTTCATTCTACAGCCAACACATGGTATATATGTGAAAATGACAAAATTAGAGGAGTAAGACGCATTTATATACTTGTACATACTCAATTTTTAATAAAAATAACGTTGGTGTTTAATGTTTTATAAACAGTGAGACAATCGAACGAGATCGAAGTGTCTCATATTTTCTACGTTGTAATACCAGATGTTTTATAAATACATGGATTACATTTTACGTGTTCTTTCTTTTATTGCACCACATAACAATTGATATTATTTGCTTGAGATTATCGTGATAGTAAAAGTGAAAATATTTTTCCATTCGCAGAAATAAAAAATAAACCGAATGACTGTTTCGTCTTACTGTTACACTCAGGGTCACCAAATTATCTTCTCTAGTTAGGGCGATACGAGAAAATTTTTACACGTAATTTAAATGACATCAAAGAGCGAATAAGATGGAAGAAAAATTCTTCCGATGGAAGATATCGCAAGTTTCACATTTGATTAAAAATTTTAGAGTCCAAGATCGTTTTAACGTCACATTTTCAAAGAAATTAAACAAAGAAAGAAACCAGGCGACTAAAGAAAAACGAATGAAATTTTCTCCCATCTTGTCCACCCTTTGAAACTATCGAAACCTATAAAAACTTTCACGTACCGCCATAGCTACAATATAGACCATAGATTTTATTATAATTGTTCCAACTAAATTTGCGAAGAGAAACGAAAGAAATCACACACTTCTATCCTAAAATCTTGGCATCGACCGCAAGGTTCTTAATCTTCAAGTAATACACATTCCGCGGAAACGCTGTCGTTCCTGAAAATGAATCACCGCGCGGCCAGAACGTATTGCCCACGCTTAATACTCGAAAAGTGGAAGAATCCTTATCCCTCTGATTATGATCTCTTGAGTCGATGACAAAGGGGTCCGTTTGAACGAGATAGGAGGTGGCACGTTCGTCACAATTACGTCGAGATTACTAAAAGCCGGGGAAGGTCGACAATGGGGTACTCGAGAAGGAAGTTCATTGCTTCCGCAATAAGTTTCTGGGGCGCAACCTAAGAAAGGGGTTAAGTTCAAAATACACACTGGCCAGACGATGTAGGGGGGTACTCGGAATCCTGAGATGTCTTCGCGAGATAATACAGCACGCTGCTGATTATTTTCTTTTCTTTTCTTTTTGCGTGATTCCTATCTTGCCACTTTTTCACCGCGAACAATTGCTGACTTAAAAAAAATGCCCGTCGACATTGAAATTTGCAAAATATGGACGGCCAAAATATCGAAGAATACCTCTGAATTTCTGTTATTCGCGATAGCTGTATCGATAGATCTTGTGCCTGATCGAACACAGACTTTATAATTAATCGTCAAGTTCAATCGTTTCTTTTCGTCGTTGGTAGAAAGTCAACATTTTCACGTTTCGTACGTTCCAATCTTTCTCATAAGTGCTGTAATATTCCACGGTTAGTGTACGCACGAATGTCTTCGCTCGGCACGAGCACACACACAGAGTCAGTCCCTCCTCGCAATATCTCGATGAGTCCAATTCACGAAATTGCAAGTGTTCCATCCTTCTCTGTCCGCGAGAAAAAAAAAAAAAAGAAAGAAAAAAAGAGAGAAGAAACGAAGAAGATGAAGTAGAGGAGGAAGAGGAAGATGAGAGAGAAAAGAAACGACGACACAAGGGACGTTATTTCCTCGAACAAGGGAAACATTTTATGCCACGTTTCAAGAGAACAACGACGAGAATGCTCAAAACGAGTGCCGCGAATTCGCAAATGTTTTTTGAAGAAGGAAAGCACGATGTTAACGAACGTTTCAAGGAAGAGGGAGACGCTGCGACGAGAGCTGCTCTCGCTTTAACCCCTTGGCCTCAAATGCCGCCTCTGTTCTATCCATTTCGTGTCATATATTTCTTGCATCAAATTTCGCCGGGTACGTGTGCCGCGAAATTTCAAATACTTGGGTAATTAAATTGAATTGCGCGAACTTGTTGATAGGACAAAGAGAGAAATTAACAGCAACGCACGGATGATGTGAGTATTTAGAATGCTTGAAATTTTTGAACACTGCGTGTAAAGTATTTTTTCCAGAGACACTGCGAAATTTTTAGGAAAAATTTTTAAAATGATTTGCATTCTTTCACTGAATGAAATTTGGGGTGCGAACTACTGAAGTGTGAACCCTTTCATGGCGCCTATAGGCGTTTTGAAAATTTGTTTGCACTATATGCTGCAGCCTTATGGTACACTTCCACCATAATTTAATATTTAATTCGATCCTTTACACTTTAATAAACCGAATTTTAAAATGATATGGCAAAAACAACCAATTTTATACCGGTACCAAAATTGTGCCAAAATTGTCTGCTAAAATTTACAGTCTGTCGCAGTGAAAGTGTTAACAAGCATCGCAATTCACAATCACTCTCATAATCTCAACACACCATTATCTCTGTGCAAGAAAATGAAGACCAAGAAAGCGCCTACAGAAAATGTCTTGCATCTTCCATTTGAAAAACACTCGGATATTAACATTTCCTTTGCTATATGTTACTTATTTTCCTTACGATTCCTGAATGCGAACGGAAGAAAACTATTATACAAAAAAGTCGTGCTTATAAAAGAGCGACCAACAATTAAATCGTATATTTATCAAGCAAGAGTAAAATTCGTACGTTTCAAAGAACGTACACCAATTCAATATTTCAGAAATAAGAGATTTCTCACAACGTCACTGATGCGGTTTCTGGAACCGTCCCGAAGCAGTTAGACGGGACATTGGATTTGCTGACTGGAATGCCTGGTTCTTGAACCGAATCTCTCGGGATTGTGCAGGCCAGGATCAGGGTAAATATTGGGATCACGATGAATCGCGTAGACCGCTTGTCTGTTCCTTTCGTAGCACGACTTTTGTCCCTGAGAAATTACAACGCTTTAGAAGCTATTCAGTCCGCAGAAATAATCTTCGTAGCTCGGTCGATTTCCGTGTAACGATAAAAATCACCGTTACGATGTTTCGCTATCCTGATATTAATTCTCGACGAACGAAAGCTATTCACGATTACGCCAAACGCAGATGACAACGGAAAATCAACTGTCATTTTTACTTGCGAATCTTTCTTTCAACCCTTTCACTGCTATAGGCGCTTTGAAGATTTTCTCGCGCTGTGACCCTGGCGCCTATAGGCGTTTCGAATATTTTCTCTCACTGTGCTTTTTTCACACATTTTCACTTTAATTTAATCCTTAATTTCTGCCCACTTACACCTTAACTTAATAAAATAATAAATATTAAATTTCAACTTTCTAATTTTTCAAAAATTTTTCAATGTCGACATGAAAGATTTTGCGCCCTGATTGAACATCCACCGTCTACCACGCGTGTTGCACACTAAAATATGCCGCAGCAAAGGATATTTAAAAGCCGGGTCACCGGTGACCCGGCGACCGTCTTTCGAAGGTCAAGAATCATTCAACCCTATCTTCGACATTGCAAATTTTCATCGAAGGAATATCTATTAAACCCTGTAACAACCTGCTCGAGTCAGAATCCTCTGAAAAATATGCAAAATACGCACGAAATCGATATCGAATTATACTTCCTGCAAACAATTCACAACAAGGTTTCACACTTTGCGTACACGCGAAGCGACTAAACTAGTGTACTACGCGTGTACAAATCGATTTTCCGGATGGAGATGAATGAAAAATGACGTGTTCGGTTTCGACTAATCCGCTGGTATAATTCCAAAGGTTTATCGCGTTTATGCGCCGTTAATTTCGTTCCCGGTGCGGTAAATAAAAAAAAAATAGGAAGAAAGGAAAACGCGGCGGAAAAAATGTTATTTCCTTTGTCGAGAGTCAGTGAGTTTCCAGTCGCGACAAAAGTCGAGGAAGCACGAGCCCCGCGATACATATTTATGAAAATGTTCGTTTGAAAGTTCGACATTCAAATGGGCGGTTTTCAATTGCCGGCGGGAAACTTTTTTCTCGTGTGCCTCTCAAAAAAAAAAAGAAAAATGAAAATAAAAAAGCTGGTCACTGTTTGGACAACGGCCGTCCCCCCCACCACTCCGGCAAGCTGACTTTATCTGCAGAAATATTGCTACATTTGAGAACATACGAATCCATTTTTCTCCTTTCTGCCGAGCTTTAATGGATTCCGAGTCTCGTGTTTGCGTTATAGAGGGAGGCGAAAGCTTCGGAAAAATCGGCTGAGTGCTGGTGTGGCTGTTAAGTTCGTTGCGCTGCCGATGGAGGGTGGCAGGGTAGCAATTTCCGGATATCTCAGATTTCCTACGTTCGGCGTTAACGCGTTTCTATGTTAATCTCGTGTTATCTGATAAGTTAACGAATCAGTAATTAAGAGGTAAATTTAAATTATTATTTGCCTATTCTTTTATGTTGATGTTCATTTGCAATGAAGAATTTTAGTGTACTTTTGAGGCGACAGAAATTTTTTATCCGTAGAGTTGCAATGATCTAAATGATCTAGACAAAAATTGTACTACACTCCTTTGAACAAATTTTAGTATACCTTATTAATAGCAAAATTTATTTAACATGGAAAATATGGTAGACACACATGTCTATGTACATTTAAGTTTGTTACACTGAGTTAACAAAATGTATTAATTTAATATTATCACTTAATATTATTATTGAACTTAATAACTTAATTTAAGCCACATTTGTAGACGATAAATTAATAGAATCTTTTTTTAAGAAATGAAACCTCATTTAAAAATGAATCCCAAATTTTTGGGCAATTTCATGTTTTTCTTTGTACCTCACTGTTGCAAAAATTTTAGTAGTTTGTGGTAATTATTTCGTCTCTTCAGCAAAACAGTGAAACTTTTATTTGAAATCTTTATTACCTTCTGAGAGTTTCCGGGAAAAATTTCAATAGTTAATTAGAAAGAATTTTTAATTGGATAACGACTTTCGAAATGGCTAGTTTGAAACGTTTTTACGTCTCTTTTATGAGAAATTTAAATATTCGCGACATAAAGGTCTTTGCAGACTGTACAATTTATCGCAGAGGAAATTATTAATAAAAATAGCAAACGAACTTGGTACTTTATTATGACAAAATTTGATTCATTCCATTCAAATTCATTGCCGTTTTAAATTTTCGCGATGAATAGTAAGAGATGAAATAATGGACGTTAGTTAAACTTCAATTGTTGGTTAATAGGCTTAATCAGAAAAGTAGTAATCCATAAAGCAAGAGGCTATATTATACCCCCCTTTATTGTCTCTTATGCGAATTTATAATATAGCTTTTAATATACTGTACATAAATTTACCAGTATAACTCCTAGACACACCAACCATCATGCTGAAAAATGGCACCATAAAAGGTGCCGTTATTTAGAATCATAAAAGACGGACTTTAATACATTTAGAAGATCTTATATATACTAATTATCCGATTGCCATAGTTAGATAGATTTTTAAGACTCCTCTGAAGCTTTTAACGCAAACGACCTTAAGAGCGAAAAAGTAAATTCGGAGAAAATAAAAATTTTGACTCCGACTGTTTAAAATATCACTCCATTATTCCATAGAATGAGATCCAAGATTTTTCTTCACTTCACGATTAGAACATTATCAATTTTTATTTTATTGTTTAGAATATCTTATACATAGATTCATCATCAGAAAAAATGTCAGAAGTTGAACAATAGGTAATAGCTTAAATAAGTAAATTTTGGCTGACGTATGTTTCATAATTATGTAATTAACCCCTTCGCTGCGGCAGATTAAAATCTTTCGTTTTGGCGTTTAAACATTTTTTAAAATTCTAAATTTATCATTTTTAAGCTTTTATTACTAAATTAAAGTGAGAGTACTCGAAGGATTGAATTTAAAGGACTGAAGTGCGAGAAAAATAGAAGTGAAAGGGTTAAGTAATTTTCCAAAAATAAATTTTCCTTTCGCTCTCCTCAAAAATTCCACGTTTTCGACTTGTCACATTTTTATACAGCACCGATACCATAAATAATTTCTACCAAACTATAATACGATCTACCAGAAACACCATACAATATTTACAGCAAATTCGTCACTTTAATGCCTCACTATACGTTGCCTACCCTGCAGAAAAAGGTTCCAAGAGTATCGATAACATTCTCTAGCTACGTTACATTAACATTATTCTTCCGCGTTAACCCATCAGCGCGAGCATAAGAGGTACCCACTATACGCAGGGTAGTAACTAAATAACCCATAATCGGTTTTAAACGTTCTTCGCTAATCCGCCGGATAACGAATGAATAGTAAATACGACGTTCGAGCTTCTCACACCGTTTTCTAACATTTGTCTGTTCACCGGGGGTTGAACAAGGGGAATAGCCTGTAGTGATCACAGCGCGGCGGGAGGGGGTATGAAAAGTGGTCGGAGAATGCTTTAAGCTGGCGTCGGAGGGTGGCGAAATCGCACGAATCGTACCGAGCCAAACCGAAAGCTCGGTTACCCCTGTCAGTAGGCCTGCCGCAACGCAGCAGTGAGCGCGCCTTCTACATCGCGCACAGACTACGGGCGCTTTTTCCATCAGATCTCGTTCATATATTTCTCGCATTTTTACCAAACTTTCTTAATGAAATTACCTTTCTCCTATCGACGTACCATTCAAAGATCTAAGAAAAAAGAAAGAAAAAAACGACGCTGTCCGCTTTTTTACAGTTTGTTCCGCGAGACAAGCGATCGGAGTGTGGAAATGCTGTAACAGTTGAAATCGCGATCTATACAGTTTCAAGTGCATCATTCGATGCTCGATGAATGCTTCGAATGTGATCGAACAAATTCCCTTCAGGTATTTCACAGTAACAGTGGTGTATCGGGCAGAAATTGAAACTGTACGAATAAAGGAACACAGATAGATACGATCGAATATTTTTACACAAGTGTTTGCTCTAGTTCTTCACAGAGCTTCGGTAGATCGTTCCGAGGGGTTGAATAAAAATTCACTGCCTCTAAATAAAGGACGTTATAAACGTCCATGCTTCTAAAACGTTCCAAGGGCTATCAAACACTTCGAACGTAGCTGCAACGTGAAACTCTAACTACTTGTTCGAACCAACCCGAGAGAGACTTCTCGCGTTCCTCCTTGCTATATAGTGTTCGTGGTCGTAACCGTAGCAGTGAAGAAGCTAGTGAAATCGTCCGTTTCTACTGGGTGTAGAATGACTTCGACGACACATTACCGAGCGTCGTTTAAAGATCGCAACGACAGTTTGTGCAGCATCCGGCGTGATAACGGATGGATCTGATGGATCCTAATGACACCGATCCGATGTTATCGTCAGCATCGTCGGGGCCGTCGTCTATTTCCATCTTCTCTTCGAGTTCCACGTCCCACGCTCGCATCTTGTTCTGAAAAAGACTGGCGTTACGTCATTATCGGTGAACGATGATGGAAAGTCGTGTGAAGTGTAGTCGCGTATGAAGCGAGCGTTAATGGACCGTGGACGGAGTATGCGATTAGTCGATTGAGTAGCTCCATTAATAACGGCGAAGACGTTTTTTTATAGAGAACCACACACGCAATTCTAACGCGGAGGGGAATGACCAAGCAGCTTTAAAAACGGATCAGGATCCTCGTCTAGCTGCATTCTCGTGCGGCTGTTTCGTGAATGAACAACTACTACCTCTCCTCTCTGTGCTCCATGCTTCTCTTCGATCATCGTCGTCCTGTGTACGCGTGCATGTGTGTATGTGATCATTCGCGTTCATGCTCGATGGTTGCTCGAACGTTACTACCTGTCGTCCGCTTATGAAATGAATCATCGTCGAATTATTGTGCACGTCGATGACGTTCGTTGTTCGTGAAGGATACTACTCGTTCGTGTCACCACAGATTCGTGTGAAAGAAGGTTTTCTTCTCCTACGGCTGCTAGAAAGTCGTCGTCGCACGGTGTGAAGTTATAGAGACGCGAGTGTACCGAGAGTGAAGTTCACCCTAAATGGTGAACCACGACGGATAGAAGCTCGGGGGAATCCCAGAGGACGAGTGGAGAGACGGAGGAGAGAGAGAATCGGTTCGGAGAGTTTCAAGCCATCGGAGAACTAACATTGAAACTTATCAGCTATTTCGTCGGGACAACTTGCTATTCTGGAGTTAAGGAGGTGGATATTCCGAAGGAGAGAACGGGGGTTTACTAAGATTTGTCCGTTCAGCCGCCGCACACACCAAGTCCCAGGATGAAGGGGTTGCTTTTGCTGATGAGCATGATAGCTCGGTTTGTCGCGGCGGAAGTTTTCCCTGGCGACGTCGACGAGCCGAGTAAGTGATTGAAAACTTCTGATTCCCCGTCTAACTACGCTCACACAGGAACGTTCAATTAGGACGTAAGAGTAGTTCTATTTGCGATTAAGAGGGCCCACTGCTAAGCCAGCAACTTCTCGAAACGTCCAAGGTGTACTAAAGTTACACGTAGTTTCTGATCTTTCGCGGAGACAACGAAATCTCGGGGGTATCGATGAAATGCACTTTTCTCGGTATCGATATTTGGCGGTGATAGAAAAGAGAGGATTAGCTTGTGCATTTTTCGTCCTAAAGTGGACTCCCGTCAAGGAAGGCTAACTTAGGAGATCCGTGACTTAAACGCGAGGGAACTGTTAGACTCAGCTCAGAAGTTGTATATATACAAACGGGAGCCTATAGCGAGCACTAGTGAGAAATTGGTGGTTAGCCCGTCCCTCTGGTGGTGAAGCGTAGCAGGTGTACCGCGACAGATGAAATCCAATTTTCTAATTTCCGACGATTTTCGGATAGAGCATCGTGTTTGGTTCTTTTTGGTCGCTTTTAGGTTTCGTTCTCCAAATTAGTGTGGGGATGATTAAGTATAGTATCACAATAACATGTGATTGTATTTGAGCAATTATCATAGGGTGTCAGAAATAATATGCTTAACTACTTGCTATTGAAATTTTTTTTTTATTCATGTGATATGGTGAGTAATACTGTGTTTAACAGTGACACGAGTATATCACTTGGACGGATAGGATTTCTTTTGTACTTTAAACGGATCTTGAATGTAATTATCTATTTTTTATGTTAATTTGTTGAAAATTTTTGTTTTATCGTATGAGTACTTGTGGTGTGAGAATTTTGAAACTTACTTCGCGACTGTTTTTTCCTTTTATAAACTGACATTATACCAAGGAGAGAAACTCATTAATATGAATGAAGTAGTAACGTAATGCAAAATTGGACGACATTTGTATCTTACTGCGACGGTGAAAAGTAACTTTAAATGCAGTTCTAAATTAGTTTCCATGTTTCTTCGTCGACTTTGATAATAAATAATTCAACTTGTTCGTGTGTTAGTGTCTAGTGTTAGCGATGTCGTTTTACAGATCATGGTATTATACATAATACATTACACGTCACTCGTTGTCACAGAAAATGCATATTATTCACCCGTCGCATACTAAAGATCACGTCAATTAGACTTCTAATATTCATAATTTTATCGATATTCACATTGAATAAATAGTATAAACAGTGTTATATATCTAAACAGGAAATATTGACAAAATTTGTCTACTCAAATAAATTTTAATCTAGCATTTAAATGTTTTTGGGGGTACAATGTGTTACTTTATTGTTTTTTACTGTGTAATATCAAGCTTTTGCTTACTATATTCGAGCAAAACAGTCGCGAGTGTTGTAACAATGAAGTGTTCAACAGTTATAGTAGACGAAAACTGAATTGCTTTTTCAAAAACAATACTTACACGAATGTACTTGATAATTTAATAGGCGACATTAAAATTTGATTTCTTTCAAAGATCTGTACTGTTGTAACAGTAAGTTCAGATCAAAATTTTAGTCAATTATCAAACATAAGTAAACAATATTGAAAGTGTATTTTTTAAATTGCACATATTTCTTCCGACAATTTCTTCAAACAGAAATTACTCAATTGCTCACTGAAGTAATGTTAAATTTTTCTACTGTACAACTGATTCTAAAACCTTTGACCCAACAAAAATTCCAAAAAGGTAAAACAAATATTATCATAATTTTTGGAGTAAAGTAAATATTTCTGGTGTCAGGTCGCATGATCTCGTGGTCAATTGCACCATTTGCATACGTTGTTCCCTTATACACGACTGCATCATTAAATTCGCGAAAAACCAGCCGACATTCAATTTGTCAATTAAAAGATGACAGTAACAGCCCAGAATACTCAAAATTCACTTCCTAAGAGGTCCACATAAGATGCAACATTACAAAGCTCAGGAAATGAATGTGAACAATGAAAAATTAGACGAGGAAAAGATAAAAACACATTTCCACATTATTCACAAGTAACTGAAGTCACAAAAAACGTTTCCACATTTCCCAACATTTCAGTGAGCCCTAAAAGGGTTGACAAAGACCCTTTTAGTGCTCGTTTAGTGCTTCACTTGTCATTCAATACGAAAACGTAGGTGAACTCACGACGAATCCCTAATCAAACGTTGCGATTACTTCACCCTTCGGAAAAGCAGCAGCTCCTTCTGAAATTCTCATACGCGGCGTGTCAAAATGGAAACGGCGCGATCGTTGCAATTATGCCAGCAATTAATGCCGAAAGACAACTTGCCGCGGTGTCAGTCATCCGTAATGACGCTGTCGGCAGGCTCATAATCGTTATGAAGCATTTATGGCTCACGATGAGGCCATCACGCGTGCACAGAGATCGCTGGTAGAACACCGGGCGCGGGAGAGGAGGGTAGCGAGAACGAAAGGGTAAAAGAAGGAGCAGATTGGGGAGGGTCGAGCGCATTAATTTCGACATGTACCACGGTTTGACGATATACGTGGACAGTGTGGAGAATTCGGTTGTCAATAGTTGTTTTGCGGCCGGTACAGCCTCGGTTTCCGTGCTCTACGACATCGGATGGGACCGCAACCCGTTTATTTAATCGATGCATTATGCAAATTGACATAACGGCTCCACTTCGGATGCAGTAATCGACGACCATCTCTCGACTGATTCACAATGGGACAATGTGTACGTTGAATAATTGGCAGTAGCGTGCTGCGGCTTCGAAATCAAAGCTACTGAACTTCCCGTTCGTACTTCAGGTTTGGGGACGTGATGGACACGCGCATCGGTTCACTCGATCGACAGATATTTCCACCGATGTTCGATAGTCGGCGGCGGTACCTGGTATAATGTTCACTTTTTTTTCGTGGATATCAAACTCGAGATGAATTATGTTCTTTTAATTTGTTTTTCTTTAGGAGTATTTGGGAGGGCGACGTTGAGAGCTAGTGCGACTTTGTGGGAATTTGAAACGGTGGAATTCGTTATTGCTGTGATAGATGTACATATAAGGTGTTTCATAAATTTTGAAAAAAAGAAATATCTCTATTATGTCAAGTTTATAAGGGAAATATTGTTTGTAAGAGTTGTATGGTTGCAAGAAAGATGTAACGTGGTGGCAATAGTTTCTTTACAGGTGGAGAGCTTGAGGTCAATTTTTTTTTTAATAGGTTGTTCGATTTTTCATAGTCAAGTTTGATAGAACAGTGAATTCTGACTAGTACAAGTACATACCTTAGTACTTTTATAATCAGAATTCGCTATTCTATAAAAATTTAGTCAAACTTGGTACAATTGCAAATTCTAATAAGGTACATTTATCCTAAAACTCGCTTTCTGAGTGATTTTTTGGTGTTCAATTTGTCAGAACTTTGTTAGTACTTTTACACTCAGAATTCTCTATTCTACAAAAATTAAAAAAAAAAAAATGACCTGATACAACTTTTGCAACGGATAGTTTCACTTGTTAGTTGAAATAACGGCCTTCACGGTACTAATTAGCAATTAATTTCTTCCTAATGAGAATGCAATTAATATTACACAATTCAGCGTTAATTTGAATGCAGGAAGAGTTATTTTCCAGTTTGGGTTAATTTTATCACTCTTGCATCAAGTATAACGGTATGCTAATTGCACGCTAAAATGTTGAATAAATTTACCAGACTGTTTGTTATTCAGGCTAAAACAAATTATCAAAATTGCAGTGCATTTTCTGCTCTTGCGATGTGTTTCAACGTCATGTCGATATGTACGTGTTATTTACTTACAATAATTAACGAGTCATATTTTTCAATCACAATTTAAGCACAAGGGGAAATTAATCTAAAACTTAATCAGTCCTTATCTATAAATCAACGCATGGTTAATACAAGAGCGTTGATCGCATTCAATTTTTCATTGACAAAATTTCATTAATTTTTATCACGAACTAATCGGTACGTCGTGAAAGTTTAATTAATTCAGGTAATAGAGGTAATAACTAAAATTAGTAGGCATTGTGTGTGCGTGTGTTGAATGATGTTCATCAATACACATATGTATGCGTTTATTGGACGAAGTTAATATATGTACACAGCTATTTAATTGCATGTATGATAGACGTAATAATTAGTGCATTATGCAGTAACAAGAGGTTTTAGGACGAGCTGGTTTAAAGGAATTTTAACACAAATTGCACGAAAATTGACGTATTGCAGGATAAATAATTTCTCAACCATTGAATTATTGCTGTTTCTATGTTTTCTGGCTTCGTTGAACGCAAATATGGCTGCGCACGAATTTAGCTCGAACATTACATGTTTACAAATTTCCTGATTTCAATAAAACGAGAATTTTCAAATTTACGTACAAATGTAAAAAATTGCAATCAGTTAAATAGGTAAACTTTTCTGAAAGCTACTTACGTGTCTGAATTTCTCGCTACAAAACAATTTAAGTCACTTCTGTACACTCGATAATTTTCAATTATTCTTCGTCACTTAAACGTGGACGATCGTCGATAAAAAAAAAACGACTACTTTTTAAGTACCGTGTCGTAGATAAATTTAATTAATATTAGCTTGTGACACTTATGTGACGTCCCTTGTGGATAGAGTACGATTCCACGGCTATTATTTTAAATTAATTCTGTGTATTAATTAAAACAAGCTAATTACATCTTATCTTATAATGTCAACGTGGAAATGTAATTACCATTGACAGATCCCCAACAGGAGTGCTAACTGTAGTAAAAGCTCGAAATTTGGGAAATTAGAAAAGTGAATTAACTGCGCCAAATAACATTGCTCTCTGCCCCAAATTCCAAATTAAAGAAATTTTGAATAAAAACCTCAGTGATCGTCAGCATACATTTCCAAGGGAATTAATGTTCATAATAAAATTATATTTCTCATGAACATTATGAACATTTGGAATTAGAATAAAAATTTAACGTTAATGCCACGTTAAAACTCAATAAGAAAAA